TTTCTTTGAATTCTGTAGGATTAGTTTGTCAATCAGCAGTTGGTCCTTTGTTCCTCTTGAATTTCTGTTCTAGAGGATGCATGTTATTTCTTTTCAAGAATCCATAAATTTGGTTTGCAATGATACAAGTAAGGAGCTTGTATGTTGTTGGCAAACAGGTGATTGGCTTATAGTTTCCAGGATCTTTTTCTTTATCTTTATCTTTTTGGATCAAAAATGTCCTTCCAGTTGTCATCCATTCATCATTTTCAGGTGTTTTTAAGATCTGGTTCATTTGGGCTGCGAATCTTTTGTGCACGCTTGTAAGTGCCTTTAACCAGAAGCCATGTAACTCATCTGGTCCAGGTGCACTCTAGTTCTTCACTTTTCTTGACTGTCTTTGCATCATTTCTTTTGTTATTTTCACATCTTCCATTTTATGCACTTTAATAGAATCCTCAATCTGTTAAAGTGCATAAAATTGTTGTTGTTATTGTTGTTGTTGTTGTTATATTTTATTCATTAAACATGAAACTCAGTCAACTGAACATTCAAAAATGCATCACAAATACCATTGACTGATGCTAATGGTTGATACAGGTTGCTGCCAGTGTCCTAGGTATCAACCAAGTACCTTCTTAAAATATACGATATTCCAAGTAGCTCAGTTTTTTGCAGTTCTGCTGGTGTTATTGCAGGAAATTGCAATTTCTTGATGTATCTTATACATTTTTTGGGACATGATACCAAATGCCCCGATGACAATGGGTATCACTATTACTGTTGTTGTTGTGGTTGTGGTTGTTGTTGTTGTTATTTAATCTTTAATTCAATTCATAGTCTGGGGCTGGTAAAAACTTAACAGTTCAAGTCCTAACCAAGGACCTAAGAGCTATTAAGGTAACGTCTGAGTATATAGGCAGTTCCAAGTTTGGTGGGTTTTTTTGCAATGTCAAAATATTCAGGTCTGGTAAGTTCAAAATCTCCATGTATCTAGGCAGTGCTTTTGGTATTGCTCCAAGCATTCCTATTACTATTGGTATAACCGTCGATTTCTTCCTCCACAATCGGCTCAACTTCAATTTGCAAATCTCAGTATTTCGTTATTTTTTTCTAGTTGTTTCTCTTCCATTTGTGCATCACTTGATATTGCAATACCAATGAACTAGACTTTTTTCTTATCTACAATAATGATATCAGGCATGTATCTGGGCCAGATGTCTTTCTGTTTGGATTCAAAAGTCCCTCAAGATTTTGACCTGTTCATTTTCAAGAAATTTGTCAATTTGGTGTTCCCAGTCATTTTTGCAGCATTCGAACTCAAACGTCTAGCAAAGCTTCCAATATATGATTTTGGTAACTTGATCATGACATTGTAGATAATCAATTTGTGAGATTTTGTGGCAGCTACTGATAAGGTGATGCACTGCAATAAGATACTATTTTTCTTGTTGCATAAGCAATATTTGCTGTTGTCACCAACGTGTTGCGTTTTTGCTCTCATGGAATTGGTTTGTAGGGCTTGTTCTTGGGCAGCCAAAATGAAGCTTTCCATTTCTTTCTTCAGCACTCCTGATCTCATGTTAGCTTTGTATCTACTTTTCCTTCAATGTCCTTTAGGTATTGACTGTGAATAGGCTTATTCTTCCAGTTACAAACTCGATACTCATTGTTTCCTTTTGATATTCTGCTTTCAATCTCGCTGTTTTCAACAGTTTCCTTTGTTCATCTTCAGCAGATGCTCTTTGGCTTTTTTTAATGTAGTCATTTAAGCTATGTTTTCCCTTTTCCATAGTTTGTTTCATTTGTATGAGTCCTCTTGCAGTACAATCGATCAATATCATTTTTTGGATGCAAAGCATGGTGCATTGTCATTAGTTTCTTGTCTTTTGATACAAATTATCAACTTCTAGCTGAGTCCAATCAATTATTCCAGTTGAGTATCATATTACAGGCACTGCCCAGGTATTAATTGCCTAAGATATTTCCTTCACTCAGCTCTGATCTCAATATTTTCCAAACTCCTTTTATGTATTTTGTTGAAGTAGCTTCCTTGACTTGGTTGTGCAACAGGTCAGAAGCTTTCAAAACTCCTAAGTACTTGTATCCTTCTGGTGTTACTTCTTTTATCAACTCTGCATTATCAAATTTGAATCCATTATCATCAACAACTTTTTCTGCCTTAACAGCAATTGTTGCATCTTTTCAGTGCCAAATTGTTTTCCCTTCTTAATTGTTTTATTCTTTCCAATTTTCAAGCCCAATTATTCAGTAATAACATAAGGTGCTGCATACATTAGCTGATTTGTTTGAGCTAATGTTTCTGTTGGAATAGTCTGGACAGCTTCATTCACATTCTTCAATAATTTAGCCAAACGTCTCTTGCTAACTTGATCAGTTTTGGCAATCACTCATCTTCCAGTTTCCTATCAACTCCATAGCAGAGGGAGCCGAGTGCTGTATCATATTAGCCATAGTATTCAATGCAAGTTTTGTTGATCCAGGCAACATTTGATCCAGCATATAATTCACTTGATATGTTTTCACCATAGTTAAATGGGTTTGTAGCAAGCAACCTGTTTCCAGAACCTGTCAAAATTGGCTGAACACTATCTCTGTGCTGCATGTCTTACACCACAGCTATAGTTTTTAGGACAGGTTCTTAGGCTCTGGGAAAGCAAGGTGGGCTTCAATCTGATCCCTGAAACTTAACTATAATTCAGTTATTCAATTTGCAGTTACAGGCTCACAGATTATTCACAGCAATCTATGAATCAGTTCTAAGTAATGTTTATAAGATTATTCCATGCTTTGCCTTGGGCAGCTGTAGTGTATTCAATTAAAATGCTTGGAAAGTAGAGGACAATCTTTATGGAAAATCAGAACCAGCATTTGTCATAGGGTTCCAGAACTGGCCTCTGCCATGGATAAACCAAACCACTAGAAGGCTGCACTGTACCCTTTTTCTCATATGAAGAACAGCCAAAAGTAAAATATTCTGGCCACATTGAGTAGTTGCAGGAAGCATGCAATTTGGGTAATTTGATTGTCTGTACTATTGGTAAAAACTTTTCCGGAACTACTTATTTGAAAGAGAGCATATGCCTTTCGAAGCAAAATAAATAAATAAAACAAATTAAAGATACTTATCTTTTTTTTTTGCTGGTTGAAATTGTCAATGATTACACCAATAAAAAGATTGAGAGTGAAGAATGACCCAAAGATAATAAAGATGACAAAATAGATATACATGTAGAGATTAACTTCATATTGAGGCTGTTCCTCCTGCTGGAAAGGCAAAGGAAGCAATGAACCCCTTGTTAATTCCTCCATGAAAGCTTCAGAAGGGGCAAAGAAACATTGTCTTTTCAAATTACCTCACGGGAGTCAACAGCTGCATACATGATGTCCATCCAGCCCTTGAAAGTGGCCTGCAAGGAAAAATAATGCAGACACATTCATTTTGATTGAGAATAGAGCAGGGGTGAGCTTCAAAAATATTAGCAAGGGGTTCTCTGCCCAATTGGCGGGTGGCCATGGCCATGGTGGCCATAGCCTAGTTGGCCTCCTGCACTACGGTGGGGGGCGTTTTTGCCCTCCCCTGGCTCCGGAGCTTTTCTTGAGCCTCCAGGAGGGTGAAAAGGGCCTTCCCAGGCTCTAAAGGCCCTCTGGAGGCTGGAAGCGGTCCCATTTCTGGCCTTCTTGAATTTCTGGTAGGCCTATTTTTCACCCTCCCTGAGTCTCCACACACACCCTTCACTTACCTACATCCAAAATGGTCCACATAGGGACCCCTGGGAGGGGAGGGGCATGGTGGACAGGGCCAGCCATGAGTGGGATTTGGGGGTTCTCTGAATTGCACAGAATATTAGCTAGAGGTTCTCCCAAACCCCCGTGAACTCCCAGCAGCCCAACTCTGATATAGGGGACTGTGAATTTGTAAAAACATATATAACCCAGGTTGGAAGTTACATCTTTCATTCTCTTTTTCTAACTTTTTAGGGGGGGGAAATAAAAAAATAGAATTGCCTTGTGAAGAGAGAATAAGAAAGGATGAGGACAGCCATGTTTATTTAATCACACAACTGCCTTTGTTAAGTGAGAGAAAGGAGATTATATTAACTTATTCAGATATTCCTTTTAATGAAAATTAGAACTATCTGCTAATATATATTGATTGAGCAGGTACAGGACAAACAAATATGTTTTTTCTGAATAATTTGGATTAGTTTGTAAAGAGGAATTAGAATAGAATATATTTACATCAGCATGTAATTTCTTCATAAAAACAAATAAAGTAGAAACTCATCTTCATTGGATTGTAATTATCTTTTCTGTACAGTGTAACTGACTGGAACTCATTTCTGAATGTGAACCCTTCACAGTGGTGGTAGTGGGGGTGAGGATATATGATACAAAGTGTTTTGAATAATGGTAGTTTCAATGAGGGTAAAGAGTAAACATTATCATTTCTATTTTAGAGGGGGAAATAGAAATCATTCTGAAGGAACAGGAGATTGCCCCCCCCCCCCCCCCGCAAGCAATATAGAACTCCAGAATGTAGAAATAAAACCATAATTGAAGGCTGGGTTTTGCCCTGATCACAAAAGCAGAGAAAATTTGGTTTGGTTCAAGAGAAATTATGGGAAGATAGTTTAAATCAGGAGAAAATGTAGGAAATTAGTAGGAAAAAAACAAATTAGGGAGGGATAGCCACAGGAATCACCAAAATTAATCTCAACGCATCCTTACACTGATCACACCAAACAGTTGGTGATTGTTCTATAATAATTCTATAGACCAGTCTTCTGACAGAAATAAGCATTCTCATCAAATCAGTCAAGCTGAAAGTTAGTGGGGACAATCTTAATTTGGAATACAACATATCAAAACATAGAAAACTCTCTCAAAGGTGTTCTTATAGTGAAATATTGGTGAAGTGCTTTTTGAAAACCCCAAAAGACAAAGAATTGAATCAGACTAACTAAACCAATATTTTAATATTTGTGTGGGGAAGAGACATTAGAAATTCCATGTATTAAGAAAAATCTACTAAAATAAATGCCATTGCAATAAAAGGCCTTGGTCCCCTCTCTCTGCACATCCAGATCAACATGCTGTTTCTTCTCTGCAGCATCTCTCTTAGGCCCAGGTGTTCTAAACACTGAACTGGACGAAAAACGGGTCAAAATAATTTGGGTTCAAACTACGTTTTTCTTCCTGGAAGAAATCAAGAAATCAATTTATTGGCCAGGATTAAATAGGTCAAAGGGCAAGCTGAGAAGGATAGTTAGCCAGTGCTTTAGTTGACAGTTTCTCATATAAGCCCCTATATAAGAAAGACGGGTTCCAGCTAAAATAGAACATTTCCTAAGGGAAAGCATGCTTACTTACCACTTGCAAAAGGGAGAGATAGCCTAATCCCACATTGTCAAAATTGACTTTGACATTGACCCAACGGACATCAGTGGCATTTTCAATATTGATAAGGTTGATGCAGTCACTTTTGTTGTTTACATGTTCGATTTCAAAGAGATCACCTGTGGTGGTATTGACACAGCGATAGTACTTCCCTGCAAAGAGGTTCACCCCCATAATGCTGAAGATGAGCCAGAAGATCAGGCATACCAAGAGGACGTTCATGATGGAGGGGATGGCCCCCAAAAGAGCATTTACAACCACCTAGTATCAGGAGAAAGAATCTACTCAGGATTTAATAAAAGTAGCTCAACTTCAACACTTTTCACAAATGCATTATATGACCTGTTAAAAAGATGTTTTTGGTTTCTATTCTGAATTAGATTGGAGATAATAAATTCAAGTTAAATTTATACTAGTGCAGAAAAGGCAGTAAGATAGAATATTAACATGACTATAGACATTTCAATTAGTGCCAATATGTGGGTTCATTTGCTATAGATAATTCTGAGATGTGAGTAGTCTATACATTTATTAAAGCAAGAATCAAGAGAACTGGTTCCTAAAAGATCATAATAAATAAATAATTGCATAATATTTTATAATCTAATTTAAAATAATATTATAAAAATTAAAAAATAATTGGAACTCTCAAGGATCTCTCCCATTGCCTGGAGGGTGTAATGAGCTATGAGAATGGGAGAGAGGAGGAAGAAATGCAGCCAGAGCAATGATCAGACAAGAATTATGTTAGCCACAGAAGGAATAAGGGTGGAGGAATCGTTTCAGGAGGAACCCTTCCTTCTTCTTTGGAAAGTAAAGGCAAGGGACGGGACAGACCTGACTCTTCACCCAGGCCACTTGCCATGGTTTTTTATTTTATATCAGGGTTTTTTGTAATTTCTTTGTTTAATGTTTTGAGCTGTTTAGAGTCATTGAGAGTTGGGCATCATCATCACTATTACTACATCCTCCTCCTCCTCACAATCCTCATCAACATCATATTTTCCTAGAGTGACTGTCTCCAATTTTCATCTCCATATATTTATAATATTTAGAATAGTCTTGGATTGTGATCATTTCTCAGAACAAAATAGAACTATTCTATTTCTATTATTCTAACTTCATTAAAGAAAGCAAAATGTAAATACAATGGAGAAAAAAATGGTAACCTCTGCGGCAAATCAAAATACTGCAAATGCTTTCAAGGCAGGCTTGGGCTTTATTTCTATTTTCTATAGGAATTATATTCATACCCTCTGAAATTCCCATGGCATGGAAGGAAACTGGAGAAATGAAATTTTGGATTGTCATGCCACACTTACTCTCATGCCTTCAAATCTGGATAAAGCCCGAAGCGGCCTCAATGCTCGGAGTGTCCTCAGGGATTTGATAGCTCCCAGCTCTGAATAGCCTAGCCAGTTTGCTGTTAAACTAATTAGGGAGACCTGATTAAAAAGAAAATGAAATAATTAGTAGTAACAAATGATAAAATTATAGAAGAAGGAATATAGTTGCATTTCTTGCACATAGGAGCATCTGGGTCAAATTTCCGGAATCCCCTAAGCTACATGATGCTTTAAGTATAACCATGATAAAAATATGTCCTGGCAATATATTGTTTTAGGCCATTTTCCCATGATGTTGCCTTTATCTTATGCCCAGCCCATGAAAGAGACAGTTATCTTTAGCTGTACCAATGTTAAAACATTGTATGCTTTAAGCAGACAACATCCAGTGTTACAAGACTGTGTTCATATACAGTTTGCCATCCATTACACTGATGGAAGGAGAGTCAATGATCAGGAGTAGACTCTTTCAGAAGGATGCTCAGCAGCATCCTTATAGTTCAGATTCATTCATACACATTTCCTGCCTCCCTTCCAGGTTAGCTATGTGTAAAAATTTAATAGCTGGGGAGAAAAGCAGTTTTGAACCAAAGTCTTTCAGTTCTGTGCAAGAAGAAATAAGCTATATATTTTAGCATTCTACTGGTTATTCTGTTCCACCAGATGGTGTCTTGCAATAAAACCCACACCATGATTAGTGGAAGATTTCCTGCCAGTTGGTAAGATCCTAAAGAAGGTGGCAAAGCCAGTAGAATTAAATAAGTGATTGGCTGATCATATGCTGAAAATCATAAACAAGACAACATCATTCAGCAGCCATTCAGAACAGATTCAATAGAGGGAGTATATGGATCATCAATAGGAACATCAAATTACAAGATAGCATAGTTTCCTGCCAACAGTGGTGGATCAATAGCATTTTAATTTAGCTATGGGAAAAGAATCTGGTTCCTGAAGTCATATCAAGTGTCCTTAAATATTTATCAGAAGAAGCTGTTTCCTCTTATTTTGAGGGCTAAAATTTGAAATGGAACCTAACGGAATCACATGATTAATCAGATTTAATGCAAGACCAAAGGGATCTTTGGGAATCTTTCCCAGATTGCTTACTTCTAGAAAGCTGCAACTTACATCAACAATGAGGAAGTCCAGCCAGCACCAAGCATTGGTAAAGTAGACCTTGAATCCATAGGCTACCCATTTAAGGAGCATCTCAAGAATAAAAACATATGTGAAGATCTTATCAGCATACTCCAAGATGGTGCGAATTGTATGTCTGCGTTCTATGTAGATATCTTCAAAAGCCTGAAAGGGGAATTAAGGCGGAGTAATGTTTGAGACCTCTTGACAAGACATAAAAGCAGCAAAAGCAGCCACAGTCTAAGTGGTTGTAGATTGTAGATAAATTTATTTATAGGCCGCCCTTTTCCCTGAGGGGACTCAGGGCGGCTTACAACATATAGGGAAGGGAGTACACACAATGACATATAAAGACAGTACATAATTAAAAATAGAAGCAACATTCATTCATCATTCGGGAGGGGACAGATTATAATCTTTAACCCCAGGCCTGACGGGATAGCCAGATCTTGAGGGCTGTGCGGAAGGTCTGGAGGGTGGTGAGGGTACGAATCTCCATGGGGAGATTGTTCCAAAGGGTCGGAGCTACTACTGAAAAGGCTCTCCTCCACGTAGTTGCCAGTCGACACTGACTGGCGGATGGGACTCGGAGGAGGCCTAATCTGTGTGATCTAATAGGAGGTAATTGGCAGGAGGCGGTCTCTCAAGTACCCAGATCCACTACCATGGAGGGCTTTGTGGGTGGTAAGTAGCACCTTGAAGCGCACCCGGAGATCAACAGGTAGCCAGCGCAGCTCGTGGAGGATAGGTGTTATGTGGGCGAACCGAGGTGCACCCACAATCACTCGCGCGGCAGCATTCTGTACTAGCTGAAGTCGCCGGATGCTCTTCAAGGGCAGCCCCATGTAGAGCACGTTGCAGTATTCCAGCCTAGAGGTCACAAGGGCACGAGTGACTGTTGTGAGAGCCTCCCGGTTCAGGTAGGGTCGCAACTGGCGCACCAGGCGAACCTGGGCAAATGCCCCCCTGGTCACAGCTGACAGATGATGATCAAAGGTCAGCTGTGGGTCCAGGAGGACTCCCAAGTTGCGAACCCTGTCTGAGGGGTATAATATTTGGCCCCCCAGCCTGAATGATGGAACACTAGCCAAATTATTGGGAGGGAAACACAACAGCCACTTGGTCTTTTCCGGGTTGAGTATAAGCTTGTTAGCCCTCATCCAGTCCCTAACGGCTTCAAGGCCCCGGTTCATCACGTCCACCGCTTCATTGAGTTGGCACGGGGCAGACAGATACAACTGGGTATCGTCCGCATATTGGTGGTATCTTATCCCGTGCCTCCGAATGATCTCGGTTTTTACCCTTCTGGGCATAACCTTGTATTACTGAACAGGACATGTAATAAATATGCACAAGGATTTGGACATTGTACAGATAGGTGTAGAAATATGTAGAAAATTTCTGAGAATCCCATCTTTCCCAGGGACCATTTTGAATCCTGATGTAGCCTCTTCTTGATTTCTTACTACTAGTTGATAAAATTCTACCCAACTGCTTTATTAGCCATTTAATGAACCATAATAGTTTGTTCCTATAAGAAATCTGAATCGTCAACAAGCTAAATCTTGTTAAATATTATTTGCAATTAATTGGTGCTACACTTATCAAGGAGAATTGCAGAGCAAGTACTAAATTCTGAACAATGTCTTGGGGATAGTCTGACTTACTCAAGATGAAGACTCAGCTTCGGCTGGTAATGGTTAATTTTTGAAATTCAATCTCAGTCCAATAGAACTGGTTGTTTCAATAATCTTTAGAATTTAGTAAATTACATTTGACCTGGAAGAGGACATTATGACATGAACTGCTAACCCAAGTCTCTCTCCAGAGTTGTTGCTTGCTCTCTTTAGACTACTGGGTGCATCTCAAGGAAAGTCCATGATGCTAAATGGTAAAATGACTTAAGTCTATTCCTAGTCATACTAAGTTTTGGAGACGAAATCTGAGTCTACAGTTCATTGTGTATGTTATCATCTTGGAAATGCCAAATCACAGAAGTTGGTCACAGTCTCAGTTTAACATTCTTCCATCTGCTCCATTCAAAGACAAACTATAAGAGGAAGATAGTCTATGTGACTCAGGATGATAAGAACAGACAGATAAAATGAAATTTTATAGTGATTGACACAAAAGTTTTATTAAAACTTTTTCATAAATCTCTCTCTGCAACCCAGATTAATCAAGTGACTTTTTTACTTTGGACCCACAGTTTACTAAAATTTTGCAAAACAGTCTGTAGAATATGGTAACAGGTAACTGTAGTAAAACTAATAATCTCTCCCTCTCTTCAAGTGTAACGTAAAGAGTAATCTGCTCTGGCTTTCATGCATTGCATTATTGTATAGCTATTTTAATTCTTGTAAGCTATTTTAAGTGATGGCACTTAGCTAGAATAAATAGTTCAAAGAGTTTATTTATTCTGGGAACATAGAGGCACTGGAGCTATCTGGGGGCAGCAGCCTTTCAGTTACACTGAAACTGCCTTTCTGGAAGAGACTGGATCACCAACATGATCATAAACATAATCTGCTGGATCCAATTGATTTGTGTTATTATACCTCAAATTGAATTCATAATGGTACTTATGGAATCTAATAAACTAGGAAGATTAGCCTATATTCTTAGAAGAAGCATATTATGAAAACAAATTAAAATCACTCTCATTCTAACTTGTATTACTGTAGGGGAAAATATATTGCAAAAGAGAAACGCTCACCAGAGCACCACTGCTAAGGAGAATCATGAAGATAATGAAGGTCTCAAACCAATTGTGTTCTACAATTTTGAAACATGCTTTCCGAAGATTCCACCACTTCGCTCCCTTTTCTGTTTTGATATCAACATACAGGAAAGGACACCTTTGAACACAGGCTGCAAGGGAAGAAAGAGTGAGTCATTTAACATTGCAGCTGCTCTACCTTGTTCTAAATCTATGCTGTGAACTTGAAATTTTCATTTACCGCAAACTACAGACATTTTGTTGTTTCCTCATATGCTCTTAATGCTGACCACACAATTTGGGACTCCTTTATCATAGCAGCAAAGGAATTTAGAACAGAACAGAATATAATAGAATAGAAGCAGAGCACTTTATTGTAAAGTGTGATGGACACATGAGGAATTTGTCTTCAGTGCAGAAGCACATACAAACAACAAAGTAATATAATCCTAAAATACCAATAGCAGTAGAAAAGATGAGCAGTAGAAAAGGTAGTAGAAAAGATGAGAAGTATAACAGTAATTATTCTTAATAATTAATACATAATTAGAATTATGTACATGTTGGAGCACTCTTTTTTCACATGTGCTGGAAGAGAATATTTGAAAAGTACAGAAGAGTCGCCTTGCTGCAAGATGGGTGATAAAAATTTAAAATCAATCAATCAATCAGAATAATAGGGTTGGACATGACCTCAGAACTCCTCTGTTCAACACCCGGCCCAAGTCAATAGGGGTCTATGACAACTCATTGCAGTCAAGTGAGTATGACTGGGTGGGCATGGCCATCTAAGCACTGCCAGGTGGGCGTGGCTGGCTGGGTGTGGCCAGATTGACATGGAGGATTAGGTGTAGCCAGCTTGGTGTGACTGACTCAGGGCGGCTGACTCAGGATGACTAAGTCAGCGTAGTTAGGTGGATGCACCAGGTTGGGGATGGTAGGGGGAAGTAGGACCAGGTGGATGCAGAACAAGTTGCCCTGGGCAACTTGGAGTCAACCTGGCATCCTGCCAGAAGAAAAATCACTCAGAGATGTGCTGGGAAATGGGAAGCAGGAAAGCAGCAAAATTTGAAAGGCAAGGGGTGGATTTCCCACCATCGCCCCCACTTGCAGAAATGTTCCGTTTTTTAATCTATTATCTAACGTGTTAGCTATTTTTCTCCAACTTGATGTCATCTGCAAATTTGATGAGTGGAGCTTGTTTTCTGACCGTGATACCTTCAGTGAAGCATTCCTCTGGATCATCATTCTCCATATTTTCTTCAACTTCTGCTTTCTCCTCCGAAGGATCTGGAGGCTTATAATCCACGGTGCTGCATATGGATGAATCTGTTCCATCCGATAGTGGTTTCTGAAGACAGCAAGAGAACAACAGATTAAACCTTTGGTTCATTTTAGGAAGCAAGAGTAAATCTGTCCAAAGCGTTCGCCATAAATTTAAGAATGATTGTACTTAATGGTTTGTGTTGGGAGACGAATAAAAATATAATTAAGCATATTCTGAATATCTGAGATTGTGTGTGTGTGTGTGTGTGTGTGTGTTTGTGTGTGTAGAAAATGGACACTGTCATAATTAACATCAAGTTTCATATGAAATTGTTACAATGACTTATCTGTGAGGAAGACACTCACTGAATTTTATCCAGGATCCAGTGAGTTACATATAGCTACTTCTGAAGGAAAGAGATTATCCTGCAGATTAGATTAGAAATTATTTTATGTTTTTATCATCCTTAGGTTAGAGAATTAGGCCATGTTTCTAAGTTCAGAGGAGGTTAACATTAAAAAGAAAGGCCAGATTAACTCCTTTTACAAATGCATGTTAATAAAAGAAGTGTAATTATTTATTCTTATTCATCTCAGTAAATAGTTCATTATTGGAATTAAAGAACATGATTTTATATTTAAGATATGGAAACATCTAGAAACAATGAAACTCTACCAGAGTTTCAATACTTGTGACAGAATAAAAAAATAGAACACTCTGTCTTGTTGTCCAGACATATGCTTTATTCTTATATTTTGACAAAGATAGGAAAAGTGCTGCTTTCAATTGATAAAAGTGTTCAGTTAAAGGGATAAGCAATTGCACTTGCATAGAAGCTTTCTGGGGAGAAGGGATGCATAAATGGGGCTAATGTGCTGGCAGGAAGTTTGTTTGGTGCTAAATTTGGATAGCTGGTGAACCAGGATGAATGCTAGATAGCTTTAGCTGTTAAAGACTTGCTCATTCTAAAGTGACCCAGGATAAGACCACGGAAGCACTCCTGAATTTGGGGAGACCACTGAGGAAGAAAGGTATGGAATATTGTGGTCTGGAATGTGTCTACTTGGCCCAGATGGTCTAAAGCAGAGGTGTCACACTTGCAGCCTGTGGGCCGGATCCAGCCTGCAATAGGCCGCGGAGTTGGCCCATAGGGCCATCCTAGAGACGGCAAGGGATCAGCCCCTGCCACCCTGGGCCCCTGCTCTATATCATTCTAGACAAGTGGCTATCCAGTTTCTTCTTAAGAGCCTCCAGTGATGGAGCAACTTTCATTGAATAATTGTTCTCATTGTTAGTAAATTTCTTCTTAGTTCAAAATTGCTTCTCTTTTAAAAGGCTGCCTTAATTTTTTTAGATGTAGAGAAGGCCTTTGACATGAATTGGGGCTTTATGTTTAAGGTATTGGAAGAAATGGACTTTGGAGTAAATTTTATTCAAGGAATTAAAGCAATCTACACGTCACAGAATGAAAAAAATGTCATAAATGGTGATTTAACTAATCCATGTACAATCCAAAAGGATACAAGACAAGGATGGTCTACATCCATGCAACAATGTTGAAAGAATCTACTTACAAAGGAAAATAGGTGTGTGCACAAGACCAAGCTATAAAAACAAATGCATACAAATTCAGAATTGAGAAGTCACCAACAGCAGGAGTCAGTTGCTGCCGGTTTTACTACCAGTTCGCAACTCATGCATGCGCTGTTCAATGTAAATTGTTCTTCGCACATGTGCAGAACAATTTACAGTGAACTGCACACAGGCAGGCAGTAAAAATCAAAATGGCAGCGGCCCAGCAGCGGCAAGGGAACCGGTTTGGGTGCGTGGCAGGCCTAGGTCGCTGCCAGTTCTGCGACCCAGGCCTCAATTCCACTATCTGTTCGGCCGAAGCGGGCCAAACCAGGAGCAACCCACCTCTGACCAACAGATAACATGCCACCACTGCAAAGAAGCTGAAGAAACACTGGATCATCTGATTAGCTGCTGAAATAAGATCACACAAACTGAATATGAACAACAGCATGACAAAGTAGCAACAATAGTGCATTGGAAGTTCTGGAAGAAATACAATTTGACTGCAAGTAAGAACTGGTGAGATCATAAAATAGAGAAAGTCATAGAAAATGAAGAAGCTAAATTGCTCTAGACTTTAGAATTCAAACAGGCAGACACCTGTCACACACATTAATAACCCAGACTTAACAACTGTCGATGAAAAAGACAGAAAAAGTCTAAATAGAGAATGTGGCAGTACCTGAAGACAGCAGAATAGAAAAGAAACAACTGGAAAGGATAACAAAATACAAAAACATGCAAATATAAATAGGATAACAGTGGCAAAAGAAAGCAAAGGTAATAATAATGGGTGCCTTGGTTGCAATCTGAAAACAACTAGAGCACACATCTTGAACACCACTGGCACTAACAAAATTCTCATCACTCAATTGCAAAAGACAGCTTTGCTAGGAACAACTTGCATCCTGTGACAATACCTTTAAGACCATTACACATCCAAATCTGCCTATCCCAAGTCCTTGGGGAAAACTCAATAGGTAGATAAAAGTGCCAAAGCTAGTCTAAACATCTGTGCAACAAGCCAGAGTAAGAATAAGATGATTTATATCCCACCTTTCTTTCAAGGTCCAAGGCAGCATCTACTAGGCTCCTTCTCTTTGAATTCGGCATTAGGTTGATTTAAGCATTCTTGAAATTACTTTACTAAATAAAACAGTTGTAATTTGAATTAATTCTGCCAAAATTGCATTTTGGAATTTGCTTCAAATATCTGCCCCATCAAATACTGTGCCTTATGCTTATCATGTTGATCCAGGCACAAATTGTCTAGAATAATAGTCAACAAGGTAAGCATTGGCAGCAATAGTTGTTGATTTGGATTTAGAAATACATGGAAAGATCTGTAGATCAATAATAGCATGCTTTTAAACAGTTTCTCATAAATAGACTCCACAAATACCATTTTTCTTAGAAAACACCAATGCTCAGTGCAAAAACTCTTTATATACTACACAGACAGAACTAATCCTGTGTTGATTCTTGCCAATCAGATGGATTGATAACTGTGTGGGGTTGCAGTCTCTTAAATTTCTGGATGATGGAGATCCACTTACTGGAAGACTCTTCCATTTTAAAAAAAAAGTATACAAAAACATAGGGAAAACCACAGTCAATCTCGACATGAAACAACAACAAAAAAGAAAAATGTGTAGAAAAGGAAAAAAAGTAATTTCTCCCTTCATCTCAGCAAGTAAAAACAAATTTAAAGTTTATCACGACCCCTTAGTACAACATATACCCTTTATCCCTTAAATCAGCTCTTGATTAAAAAAATCAAATATTAAAAACCTTGTCATTCATTCTTTATTAACAAAAATCCAGTATGGTAAACCAAATAAAATTATTTTTTTCTATTTTAATCTTTATCAAAAGGACAACCCTATATTCATTTCTTGAATCTTTAACAATTTTTATTTTAACCCTTCCAAAGTTCCAGAACTTATTTTCTGTTCAACTTTTTTTACCCCAAAATCTTTCAAAACTTTATCTCTGTTGTACATCCAGAAAGTTAAGTTTGTCCTTTTTTCCCCACTTCTCAAAGTCCTCCAAGACTTTAATAGATCTCTTTAGTAAATCCAGTAAGAAGATTATCCAATCCAGATTATATCATAAAATATTTACATTTTAAAATAGAGCCAGTTTGATCTAATGGTTTGTTTATTTGTGTCAGAAGCATCACAATAAAAGTAAGGCATACATTACAACATAACATTTAAAAATAAAATACAAGATTAAAACATGTACAAGTTAAAACCAATCTTGCCCAGAAACTAACAACATTAATTTCATTCTGTTGTGTTGCCATGAAGTCCTCAGCGGTACACTGATCAGGACACAAAGGATAGGTATAATATATGTTGTTTTCTGCATGTTATCACAAGCACAAAGAATAGAAGCTACTGGCTAGCTCCCAGGGGTGGGTTTCAACCGGTTCGCGGCGGTCCCTGCAAACCGGTTGGTCGGCGAACCCGGAAGTAAGTAACTTCCGGGAACAGCGAAGGGCCCACCCGCCCGCCCGCGCTCCTTACCCGGTTTTGACGAGTTCTGCGCTTCCATGCATGCGCAGGATGCATACAGCGCCTGCGCGATCCTCCAGGAGCAGCTGGAGCATCGCACAGACACTAGTACGCATGCATGCGCTGCGCGTGTGCACGAGGACGCTGCCAGCCCTGTTCCAACCGAACTGGTTGGAACGGGGCGAGAAACCCACCCCTGCTAGCTCCATTTCTTCAGAGTGTCTCTGGATCTTGTTATAGCAGTAGCAATAGCACTTAGACTTATATACCGCTTCTCAGTGCTTTATAGCCCTCTCTAAGCGGTTTTACAGAGTCAGCATATTGCCCCCAACAATTTGGGTCCTCATTTTACCCACCTCGGAAAGATGGAAGGCTCAGTCAGCCTTGAGCCTGGTGGTATTTGAACTGCCAAATTGCAGTCAGCCGGCAGTCAGCAGAAATAGCCTGCAGTATTGCACTCTAACCACTGTGCCACATTATATCCATGTATAGTCTCTAACTATTTCCATACTTCCAGCTTTTGCCAGACACAGATGTCAGCTCCTTTATTTATTCCATCCAATGTTGTAACTTTCTATAGGTCCACTCTGCATTTAAATTATTTGAAATATTCCATCGACCTAAAGAAACGTTTCCTAGGTTTTAATCTCTGATGAACTGGTTGTAAGCCATAGAGAGTTTTGCCTAGATGTTGATCATTTATGCTTCTCTCTGTATGCTGCTGCTGCTCTGCAAACAGCAGGCGGGACAATGCCAACTGAACCAGTAATAATTGTGCTAGCTTTATTCAGAGCAACATCTACTTTTCCAGCATGTGGTGATTTATACCAGACTGGCAGGCAGCTTCTAAGTGACAAAAAGCTAAAGTTGTTGTCTTGAGGACCCTTGTTTTGGTACATTGGGTAGAGCTCATTAACTTCTTGTTTTGTCCAGTAGTGGTTAAAGGATAAGTCTAAAAACTGGGAGACTGTCCCACCTTCCCATCTTAGC